AAATATCCTTTTCTCTCTTCTTATGTACTTACCTTATCCCCCTTATAGTATTTACCCCACAAATTGTAACAATGCCCCCCACGATGAAGGCAGTAAAACAGAAGAGAATAACTTGTCAAAATCAGCCGCGGGCAGAACAAGAGTGTGATCCCCTTTCGGGACCGCAGTCCGATGACCCTGAATAAGGGTGCCTTACCCCTCGGCCATCTTGTCTACTATGCAAAAAGGGCTCAAGTGTGGTTGGAAAACTAGTTGCGGGGTGATGTAGGAGGACATTCGGTTGTTGTACCATCAGACTTTCGTCGCCATGGGTTAGATAGATATCGAAGTTGATGTAGAGTTGACGGGAGGACATGGGTACCGGATATGGTTTAGCGCCCGAGTCATGAAAACCCAGGACCCACCCACTACGGCGTTATAAAGCGGTATTGCCCAAGGCCATCAAAATACTGCCACACCGCACCGGGATTTCAACAGAATCTCAGGCGAGCACTTGGAAACTGTATGTTTCCAAAACCCGCTAAATCCGAGGTTTTTTGATCGAGGTTCGCTAGGTTCTGCCGCTGCTGGCGGTCAATAAAGCGGTAAGAGTAATTGCCTTCCATCATTTTACCTCCCTCTATATGGATGCCTTAGGCAGATCTATCTTAGATTTGCTTCCATAACAGGAGAAGTAATGTAGAAGGGACTGTACACGTAAGTAATGTCACTGTTACAAACTTAAGCATGTTATATGGGGCAATTTCCGTAGAGGAATTGTAGTGATGACGATGATTCGGAGTTATCCAGTGGGAAACTCCCATGGAGAACGATAGAGAGACTTGATATCATGCTTGGTTTGTATATACTGCCTTTTAGCTAACTATAGCAAACCCTCTCTCTTACTAAGCTCACTACTTCTGTTTATTTTCGCCGAGTATCTTTCTCACAAGCCGGTGTATGCGTTCAAGGTTACTGGCTTTCTAAATCTACCTGCCGGTCCCCGACTTACTAGATGGAAGGTTATTGGTAGTATTATTACTATTGATGAAGTAGTGGAACAACTGTCAAGTTCCGTTAGAGTTGATAGACAATGTTCAAAACCCAAATGGTTGGCAGGGGCTGTGTGGTTTATTCCCAGTTCATGAGACATTGTAGGTGTTGGAATATCCCTCCAAGCCTAATAAGCGTAATCTTCATTTCCCTTCAATTATGATTAATAGACTACGAGCTCCAAGGGGTATGCTGTGCGTAGAACCCTCAAACTTCCCAAAGTATAACTTCATCACGTCGGCATTTCCCTGCGCAACAGCTTCACGTCTCCACATTTTCATTCCAAGACAAGTGTTCTAGAAGACAGAAAAGAAGTATATATACTTCGGAGAATTATCTACAAACTTGTACCTCGATTACACTTCGGCCATTACAACTAGTAACACACGTGAGACATCTAGTCTTATTACTCGTATCGCCATGGAGCCCCAATCCGCGAATCCTCCAAACGACACCGCCGCAGAGGCGAGCCCAGCCCGCGAAGTACACACCGAGTTCCGATACTTAGAAGCCTACGAGGACGTCTGCGACAGATGCGACCTCTTCAACATGCAGAATGCCATGTCGCAGTGTCGATCATGTGGATGGCGAGAATGTCGTGCATGCACCATCGAAACTGGTGGACGCCTAACCCATCGGGCCCAAGGCAGGACGCATTTCTCACCCGTTAATGTAACTGAGTTAATGGCCCAGGCGACTGCTGATCATGAACAGAGAGTGGCGAGACTAGGAGGATGGATGGCAATGAATAGAGGGAGGGGTCGTGCCAGGAGATGGATATATACTAGTAGAAGGAGGGAAGAAGAACAGCATAGAGGGAGGGGGAGGAGAAACCGACGAGGCCGCCGGGGAAATCGCCAACGTTGTCAAGCACCAGCACCAGCACCAACGCCTGAAGCTACCGCTGCTCCGTCCCCGGCAGCTTCTCCTAACACCGAGGAAGCAATATTGAATGATGCTCGAGCTCCTGAGACAGCAGAAGGTGCGGAGATGCTGTATGCTTTGGGGCTCGAAGATTCTGCTAGTCGCAGAAGTGAAAGTGGTAGGTGAATCACCGTAACTTAGAAACGGAACTCCTTCTTACAAAGCTCATAGAATCCCCTGCCACTGAGGAAGAGAGACGAACTATACGTGCTCCCTTTCTCATCCTGGCGAAACGTGCCCGCGAAGAATTTGAAACCCAACAGACAGACAGGGCAAGTGAGGAGTGAGCGTGCCATATCAAACAGATAACTATCTGTTGATGTGCTGTTATTCGACTTTTGCTCCTGCAACGAACTTATGCCCTTCGGCTTCATTATGTGTCATAGTGACACGGTACCATCCCTTCAGTTCTCTGGAAAATCGTTGGATATTCTCTGTTTTTAAATGCTTGCACACTGGGTGTGGGACAGACGGGCAGAAAAGACATTCCGATGAGAGAGATGAGAGCTGGATTCCATCATAGGGAAAACATTTTTGAAAAAGGTAGGCACCGATCCCTTCGCCGTCCTCCAGGATGTCTGTTGCCTGATGCCAGCAGGATCTGGATTGTGAGTACTACCATGGCAAGATTGAGCTAATACGCCAGAGGCAAATCCAGTGGTACGTGATCATATTATACAAATACGTGAAGTAGAGATTTTAGTAGACATACAGGGCCACTCCGTGGCAGTATAATACATGTAGATGTAGTCCAGAACTCCTGCCTGTTCGTCCTATTCCACGGTCGACCCTCAAACTCTCCGGGGAGCATGGGCCGCGGCATTAGCGAGAGCCTGCCCACGGGCCTTGGCTGCCATCTGAAGCAGCTTAGCCGTCCTAGACGGGTGCCAGACACGGCTTCCCAAGACAAGCACCCAGGTAAGAAGGAACAGACTGCCCGCCTGGTGGGCAGAGGCCAAAGGCGTGGGAACAAGGTAAAGAAGAGTCGAGATACCAAGACCAACCTGCATGCAGGCGAAAGCGACCACACCGTGGACACCCTTCTTCGCAGCACGGGGCAAGAGGCGCTTCATGGTGGGGGATCTGCGAGTGTAGGCCCACAGAGCCATGATGCTCGTAAAGGTAGTCATGGCCAGGGTGCGGTGGTCCAATTGCACCAGGGAAGGGTTCTCCAGCATGTTCCTCCACCAGAGGTCCGACCGGTCCTCGTGGCGAGAGTAGCGTTCATCAAACAGTTCAGACTTAGGAGGAGCCAGGCCATTACCCATGAACGGGAACTCGTTGTAGATGAGACCAGCATCCAGGCCAGCGACCAGGGCACCCGACATGGCAGTCACGAAAACCAAAGCAGCCAAAGCGGCAACGGAGCGACGGAAGATCTTGAGCTTAGGGTCACGAAGCGAGTCCAGAAGCTTGATTCCAGCTTCCGGGTCCGCGAGCAGACGGTGGGAGCGCAGAATGGCAAGTCCGTTCCAGAGCATAGCAGTATAGCAGATGAAAGCTGCACCCAGATGCGCCGTCAGACGGTACTGGCTGACACGAGGGTGGCTACCGGGAGCAAACAGATCATCCTTCAAACCAGACTTGACCATCCACCAACCGATGAAACCTTGGAAGCCAATCAAGCCCGCAATACCAGCGAGGCGCAGAGACATGGGCTTGCTGACCTTTTTCGTGGCAACGAAGTATGCGGCCGGGAGCACGAACGACAGGCCGACAAAGCGGCCCCAAAGACGGTGGATCCATTCCATGTAGTAAATCGATTTGAATTCGGAGAGGGTCATATGCGGGTTCAGGAGTTGAAATTCGGGAGAGGCACGGTACTTGGAGAATTCCGACTCCCAGTCTTCAGCGTTCATTGGGGGGAGGGATCCGGTGACAGGGCGCCATTCGGTGATACTCAGACTACAAGATGGCTGCGTTAGCATTGGTCTGCAACTTAGCAAATGGAGGAAAAGACCATACCCTGACTCAGTCAGTCTGGTAAGGCCGCCAAAAACGACAATGCCAAACACACTGGCCGCGCTGGCCAGCAGCCAGTAGGCCACTTTCTTGTCGCTCACATCCGGAAAGCTAGACTTGGCTTTCGCGGCTCCTTCCTGGGCAGCAATTGCCTCCGGCGCTGCTGATCCGGAAACGTTTCTTCTCAGACTGGACGCAAAAAGCTTTCTGGCCCTGGACTGCAGGGCAGAGTTGGCTCTGCTGTTGGTGTTCTGGGCGAAGGGCAAGGCGGAGAATTGTCTGCGGAAGGCGGACTTAGTCGCGAAGTTCTGGGTACGGATCAAACATTGGCGGCAGGTGAAGAGCTCCCTCGACAGCCGGGGAGACAAGCTTCGCAGCAAGGGCACGGAAGGCCCGAAGGATGCCATGATGGGCGGATGAGGAGAGAATGAAGCTGTCCAAGGCTTGCCAGGCCAGAATTTCTGGTTGGAACTCGGCGAGTCTCGCGTTCGGAAGCCCGAAGGCCGAGACCTCGCCAACCAATCAGAGCACGTCAATTTGTTGCCGATCGATCAGCCCATACACCACTAAGTACTAGTACCTTATTCTATACATTCTACCTCACTTGGTACTAGCATCTCTCTCTTTCCCTACTCAGCACCTTTGTCTGTTTCAACGGTGTAACATTCTATCGAATTAGCTTACACTGAAGTTGTATAGTCACTCAGCCAATCTGACTTGATATACAGAATGGTCAAGGCCCCTTGCTTCAAGCTGTGTGAAAAGTCATAGCCTTGATGAATGATCACCGGTTATTACAGTTCCTCTACGAGTGTGAGAAGATTCCACACTTCGTTCGATCGCTGCATATTAGATCGTTAAGGCTCTCAACACGGTGTTTCTCCACCACGTTTAATGTCACAGACAGTTGTTGGGTGAACTTATGCATCGAGGAACTTCGAGTCACTTTCGAATCCTGGAAGCCACACCTTGGCAAGCTATAACCGATTTTTCTCTCTGAAAATAGTCTGTGACTATCTGAAATGCCACGCGGTGCTGAGGTCTTACCTCTGGCTCCTTCAAAACAGCGAGGTCCAAGGGACCAGGTAAAAAGCGCCTGAAAAGCACAGCCACTCAACTGAATAGCTATTCCCCATGTATTTAAAATACTGTTGCGTGCATTTGAAGCGGCTCATATACAAATGGGCCATTTCTTTGTCAAGAGGAAAAGCATCACCGTTGACTTGGCATGTTGTATCAGTTACAGGCGAGACCGATATTCTCTGGTGCTGAATATCACCGCAAGGGTGCATACACTAGAGCTGCCCCCCTCATTTGCTTCGGACTCTCCGCAAATGATTTGTGAAGCTGTGATATTATCGCTGCGGGGTCCTGCAGCATCAAGCCATCCTAGACTCCAGATTTTCCTCCTCTTTTTCCGTCGGAATGCTCGGGGCCCCGCACTAGTGGGGCCGAATGCAGGGTATCTACTATCTCAGAAACTCTGTACGAATACGAAATCCTGTGTACGAATACGAATTCCTGTGATCGGCTACAATAAGACCGACCTGTATTTCTTGCACACGGCAGTGGAAAATGGTGAGACCTGTCACGCTTCTGGATTACTCAGCTCTTTGCAAAGGATTTCACTATCACACTGCAGTTCAATCCCCTCTTGAGCCCCATGCATTGCCGAGCAAGTCATCATCCAAAGATCTTCCTAATGACTCCTCAATTCCGGCTCAGCATTGCACCGAGCCAGTTTTCCCCTCATCAGATGCAGCAGAGCACACTGTGCGGACAGTCTATCAAAGGTATATATACTACTAGTGGTATGATGTATACTTTTCAGGTGCCGTGCCATCCTTACCAGGGACGGTTTGAGATCACCAAAACCGAAGACTATGTATTTGCCGTATCTTTTCATAAATACTGCTCTTATTGCTCAGGCCGTATGGTCTGTCGGGACTAATGACCAAGTCGAACCCGACTTCGATTATGGCAGCTTTCAGAATCCCTCATCGAATGTGAGACCACGCTTCCGCTACTGGGTGAATGATGCATCCGTGAACTTGAGCGTGGTAGCAGAGGATGTGAAGGCTATGGGTGAAGCAGGGGCCGGTGGGCTTGAGCTACTCGGTTATTATCTGTATGGAGACTCGCTGAATAATGGTGGACTATTGCAATGTCCCTTGCAGTCGGACTGGACTACATTCGGTTTTGGAAGTCCAGCTTGGAGTAAGCCCTGCTGCAGCCCATGATTCCATCAAGGAGCATACTGATATGTTTACTAGAGGACCTGATCGACACTGTCTTGACAACAGCAAAAGAATATGGTTTACTTGTAGACTTGGCCATTGGGCCAAACCAAGGTGCTGGTGTTCCGTCGCCCTACAATGATGATGGCCTTTTGTGGGACTTAGCTGGGTTCAACTTGACATTTTCCCCCGACAAGGGCTATGACGGCATTATTCCTGGTTGGGGCGCGGGTCCTCTGATTGCAGCTGTTACCGCACAAGTCAGCTCGACCGGTTCAAATGATGATACATACAAAGTACTACTGGAAAGCTCACTACTGGACGTCACACCTCTCGTCAACTCCAACGGGCATCTTCAGGTAAAAGCAAACGACACTGCGGAAGGTTGCCAGTATCTCTTTGCTTACTACTTAGTTCATTCTGAGTATCGTGAGGTACAGAGTCCTGCTGATGTTATGGCCGCTGTCCCTCAATCGCCCATAACGACTTACTCTCAGAACGGGTCATGGGTTGTCGATCATTTTTCTCCACAGGGCGCGTTAGCAGTTGTGGACTTTTGGAGACAGGCATTGCTGGACAGCGAGAGTGGCGCACTGATTCGCGAAGTGGGCAATTACCTCTGGGAAGACAGCCAAGAATACACCGTCTCTACATTCTGGACCCCGCGCCTGCAAGAGGTATTCAAAGCCAATCGAGGCTACAGTATCAACAGATTTATTCCCATTCTGATCGGTTCCGGCGGCGGGTCTACTCCAGACATCACCTATGTTACTGATGAGCTTGATGCAGGTGCCAGTCATACAATGGACTATCAGCAAACAGTTCGTGTCCCTTCTCATAGTAGAAAGGGGTCAGATGCTGACTGGTGTAGCTCACGGAACTGAACGCCGAGTATCTCACATCTTTGACACAATGGAGCAATGACCTAGGCATTCAATTTTCGGCACAGGTAGTGTACAACCTGCCTATGGACATGCTTGCCAACGTACCCTACGTCAACGGTCCCGAGTGTGAGACATTAGGTTTTAGCGATAACATCGACAGCTACAGGCAATTTGCTGGCCCCGCGCATCTTGCCGGGAAGCGTATCATTTCCAGTGAAGCTGGTGCAGAGATGTTAAAAGTATACCAGGAGTCCATACCTGAGCTTTTATGGACCCTGAAACGCTCTCTTGCCGGATCTGTCAATCAGTTCGTGCTTCATGGTTACCCAAACTCGGGTAATTATGGAAACACAACGTGGCCGGGCTTTACAACCTTTTCGTATTTGTTCTCGGAGATGCATGGTCCTCGTCAGCCGGCTTTTGCCTATTATAGAGATTTTCTAGACTGGCTCTCTCGAAACCAGTTCGTAGAGCAAACAGGTATCCCTAAGGTGGACATTGCCTTTTGGTCGAAGTCTACCACATACAAGACTGTTCCCACTACTTACAGCCCTGTTGATCTACAGAGCACAGGTAAGCAGCTTCACTTAGGACCAGATGATTTGTGATGCTTAACTAAGATTTGGTTCGTAGGCTACACATATGAATACCTAAGCCCCGACAACTTTGCGCTACCCGGAGCGTTTGTCTACAACGGCACTTTGGCGCCTAATCAGCAGGCATTCAAAGCCCTCGTTGTGCGAGCAAACGAGACTCTGACAGCGTCTGGAGTTGCGAAACTTCTTGAATATGCTTATTCCAAGCTCCCGATTATCTTCTCCGGTGGACTGCCATCGAACTTCAGCGGGTACAATCCTAAAGCTGCGAGACAAGCTGTCAGTACGATTAAAAGCCTAACTTTTTTGGATAACGTCCATACTGTGCCGTACGAGAACCTGGCGGCAACGCTCAAATCTCTCAACATCCTGCCGCGTACATCTGTGAGCGCGGACAGAACCTGGTACACCACCTGGAGGCATGATACAAAGACGCTTACGGACTACGTCTATGTTTACAATGATGCAGCCGGGGTCCCATATGGAGGTGGAATCTCTTCAGGAAGTATATCTTTTGAGACAACGGGAACACCCTTCTTGTACGATGCCTGGTCAGGCGATATTATCGCCTTGTCTATCTACCAGAAGTCTGAGACCCATGTTACAATTCCTCTTACGCTAGCCGGAAATCAGTCCGTGATTATTGGCTTCCATCAGAACGCCCAGCCAAATCTCCATCTACAGAATATAACAGATGGGGTTCTTTGGGCAACCGGGAACACGACATCCCTCGCTGTTCTTAGATCCTTTGATCAGGAGTCTCGCGAAGTCTACCTTTCCAGCGGAAAGTCCGTGACCCTAGCCCCGATGCTGACGCCTACATTTACGCTTGGCAACTGGTCGCTGGTAGTCGAGTCATGGACCGCACCTTCGGACTTCTATAACGTCGAGTTAGGACCGACGCGCACGAATCAAACGTTTGATCTTCCGACTCTACTTCCCTGGAACCAGGTATCGGCGTCTCTAACCAACGTTTCTGGGATCGGGTACTACTCGACAATGTTCGACTGGCCTCCACAGGCCACAAATGGCACGGTCTCTGGAGCAATTATCGATCTCGGGCCCGTTACGCACACGGCACGTGTCACCATAAATGGACACGTGCTGCCACCGGGCGAAATCACTTGGGCAAAGTGGGATATTGGGCATTTCCTTCGACGCGGTCATAACATGGTGGAGGTCGTTGTCAGTACCCCTCTGGGGAATGTGCTGCGAACATACTGGGATGAACTGGAGACGAGTGGGAAGCTTGCCGCTGCCGTTATGCCGTTCCCACCGGATGAGGCAGACTACGGATTGATTGCTCCGGTGAAGATTATTCCTTATCGTGAAGACCGGGTTGCTTAGGTCCATTACGGGACATACTTTATTGTGCCAGCTGCGCGCAAGAACTATGCTACGTCTGACAGATGCTTACTAGATCTTCAATATTTCGCATACTACCGACAATACGCTCGTTGTCAAACATAATAGCAAGCAATCATCTATACAACCACCAAATCTGTACACAACCCATCCTGTAAGCACACACCCTCAAGCAGCACCACTTCTCAACCTCTCCGCCACCCCAACATACGACCCATACCTCACCTCCTCCACGATTCCAACCTTCTTCGGCACCCATCCCAGCACCCTCATCGCCTCCCCCCCAGAAGCCCTATTCTCCGTACTCAGAAACCTCGCAAAGAACTCCCCCCATACCCTCTTCGCCTCCTCGAACCCCACAACCTCAACCCCAACCCCCAAAACATCCGCCATTGCCCTCGCCAACTCCCCAAACGTCACCCCCCACTCCGAACACCCATTAAACACGTCCCCAGCACCAGCCCTTTCCGCAGCAAGCAAATACAACTCGGCCGCATCCTCCACATGCACCGCAGACGTAGCCACCCCCTCCGCCTCCCTAATAACCTTCACCTCCTTCTTCCCTCCATCACCACCATTCCAAAACATCCCCATAAACAACCCCACCCCACTCCCTCCCCATCCATACACAAACGGCGGCAACCGAATCACAATAACCCTCACCCCACTCTCCCCTACCCACCTCAGATTCTTCCTCTCCGACACAATCCGCTCATTCAGCGCCTTCCCTTCCTCCCATAACGCGGATTCCTCGTCAGTCTCCTTCCCCGTAGCAGCAACAACCAGTGACCCGGAGGTCACTACAAGCGGCTTGTTGCTTCCAGCTAATCCCTCAGCGATGGCAGTCACTGCTTCGTCGTCGATGCGGATGCGTTCTTCGTACGGGAGAGAGTAGTTTCCTGCCATTGGGTCCGCCAGATGGATGACTATATCTGCCTTTTGGCTTTGTTCAAGGAGCACGGAGTGGGTGGTGAGGTCGCCGCGGATGGGAATTGCACCGAGAGAGGTAATTTTGGCGTCGCTTTCGGGACTGCGTGAGAGCGAGTGGACGGTGTAGTTCTTGGAGAAGGCGTGGGTCGTAATGGCTTGGCCGAGGTAGCCACTGCCGCCGGTTAGGAAGATGAGGGGCATGTTAATTGATTGATTGATTGGAGATTGTAGTGTCGGTTTATTGGTTGTTGGGTCTGTGGTTGAGGTCTGGTGTTGTGGGATAATGCTATATGGGTTTATATAGTATTTTCTGCTTCTTGCTATGCGTGGTATGTGAGATATGGTCGGGGTTAAGGGATTTAAACTCCGGTGAGGATTCGGAGTTTAGAGTATGATGATATGGGATTTGTTGGTTGGTTATGGGGCTTAAGGGGATGTTGCGCACATACGGAATGTTGGATATCCGAGGGTGCTTATGCAGGAATGGAAGTATATCATTATGTGTATGTCTAAAGACTTGGGTGGAGGATGATAGGGCTTTTTGTGCGACAGACAAAGATTAAGCTCAACAATTCGTACGATAATAAATTCTACTTAATACGGCATTCTACTAAATAGCGCAACATGCAGCATCATAACAGCTTCGTATATACCTACCAATCAGAAAGGAACTTCTTCCCCCCTCCAACTGATGAACCGGCCTCCAACTGTTTCTCTCGTGGCGCTTTCGATCTACTCCACTCAGTATCACGCCCCACTATATCAGGCTCTCACAGAAAGGAAAATACACTTACCAAGTTCACCAAAGCCTCCGCACACTCCCTCGGCTCCGTAAAAGCCTCCTCCAACCCGATACTCTTCGCACACGCATTCCCCATCTCAGTCTTCACGAACCTACACACCACACATCAGCACCCCACCAGCCATCCCAATGCACAAGATAGTAAGCTTACCCTGGATGCACCATAAAACAAACCATCCCTTCATTCTCCATATGCATCTTTCTCGTCACCCAATTCGCAGCAGCTTTACTAACCCCATATGCAGCACCGGGAAAGAATTCTTCTTCAAGACCACCGATACTCCCCAGAAAGCTACTAACGGTGACAAACACCGGCTTCGTGCTCTTCTTCAGCATGTCGTATACTCCCTGAAAGAGGCGGATTACGCCGAGTGTGTTCACATCGAAGTGCAACTGCACGGTGGAGAGGGGGATGTTGTCGACGCGGTGGGTGGCGTCGTTGTAGTAGCCTGCGTTGGAGATTACGGTGTCGATGTGCGTGATGTGGTGGGTTGATTTGAGTGTTTCGATGGCGTTGGTGATTGAGGTGGTGGATTGGATGTCGAGGGGGAGGAGGATGAGGGTTGAGGTGGGGGATGTTGGTGGAGGGTTAGTATAGAGAGAGTTGGTGGTGGGGTTGCGCATGGTGGCGATTACGATGGTGTTTGGGCGGAGGAGGAGGGATTGGGTGAGGGAGAGGCCGATTCCTGGGTAGTTTTGTGGGTGAGATGAACATGAGGATGGGATCAGGAGTGGTGGTGTGTACCTCTGCTGGCCCCGGTGATGAGATAGATGGTTGGGGATGACATTGTGGGGTTGGGGGTTGCGGGAAATTGGTAATGCTCGATGGGGATGAACACAGAATCGAGTATTGGGACTTTATGGATATCTGAGAGGGGGATGTATAGAAGAGTATTATGGTCCATCTTGGTGGAGGATAAGCGACGCTTTTATAGTCATTTGGTTTTGGGGTTAGCTAAGCTGAGGCTAGGGCTGAAAAGAAGCTAACTGATTGTGGCTTGTGGTGTGAGATACGAGTTTCGCAGTCTGGAGGCTAAGTCACCTCTAGTCGAGGCATTAAAGTCTCTCGTTGGAGCATCATTTGAGCCTTGATATACAGGAACTGGACAATACAATTTGTAATTACTGAGTGTTTCTGAATTGTACTTGTAACTTTCCAGTCCCACAATTCAGCCTCAATCTATGAAATGAAATAGGGTAGCATTCGACTTCTTTGTATAGTACATAAGATTATATTGAATCTGGCATTGTTTTCTAGTAGTTGTTTGCTGATTGCTTTCGATAGACTGATTATTAGATCTTCTGTATATCCTGCTGATGAAGGCATAAGTCGCTTCGGCTGCGATGAAGCCCACCTTATGTATGATTAAGGAACTATGCCCGTTTGTACTGTATAACAAGAGGGCTTGACATGGTCAAGGAAAGTGTCCCCATTCCCGTAATGCCTCTGCTTTCTGCGCCATCATAAACAGCACACACTTATTTCAATTCTACGTCATTAGATGCTGAGCTAAACAACAAAAGCTGTCGAGATCCACTGTGTTCAGGCACAGCCCCGGCTGCATACATGGTTTCTCTGCTCATTTTACTCCCAGTAGAACCTTACTTATGTAACCTACACGCCCTGGTTAGGCGGAACTCTTACACGGCCATGTTCTGACCGGTGCCAGCCCTGTCCTTCGGTGCCTGGTGTGAATTTGAAATATTGCGTTGTGTCCATGCTTCTACCTGAAAAAATGACCCACTCTCTCAGATGATTGAAATGCGACTGATGGGATTAGAAAGTTATCACCTCAATGCAATGGGAATGCCTACCAGGAGAGGAGTAAGAAGCTTCTCAAAAGAAGCTGTGGCGTGCTCCTCGATTTCAGTGTCTGAAGGACAACGTATAAAATACCAGATGGACCGAACGCAATTATTCCGGAACTTGATCTCCTCGAGATCAGAAAGGTCGATTGGCCCCCAGATATGTACGCAACGTAAACTTGGGAACTGGACACCGTCTGGGCCGTCGGGTTTGCGTTTATAGTATAATAGTGTAGCACGCTTGATGTATCTTGCATATAGATTTCGGCGTGCTTCTGGGATTTTGCCAAGCACGACCACAAAATCGTCATGACTACCTTCTCGGTGAAGAGGGGGTCTGGGGTCTTGCCAGAGCCATCGGATTGCCTCCGAGAACCATAATTTGTTGACAAGGGCGCAAGAAAGGATTGAACGGCCACCCCAACTACACGTGGCTGGGCGGTAGTGATAGAGGCACTCGAAAATGTGGTTCAGGATCTCGGGAATTGCCAGTGCACGCTGAACGGCTGGAATAAGGGGTACCTCATTGTTCAGAGCCATTTGCAAATTGAACTATGTGACCAACTGTCAGCATGGCCAAGAGTAAGTTTAAACTTCTTAGCGCTCTGTCGGTGATACCTTCTACCATCACTCGGCTAATATGATTATCTAGGGTCGGTGAAAACCATAGATACACGAGTAAGTCTGAAAGAGAAGGACTACAACGAAGTAGTCACAGTAGTAAGTTGCACAGTTCTGGCTAGTGAAAGATTCACCACGGTCTTGGTCATTAGTATAGTCTGATGACAAGTGTGTGTTGAGATAGGAATCAGGTGTGGACAGAAATTGACCTAAATAAGCTGGGACGACAGTCCTGCAGTTAGGCACCTAAGAGACCTGCGTTGTCTCTGCTGCCTGCAAGTCCTCCTCCTCCGCTGAGGAGGCCCTTATTTGAAGAAGATATAAAGATCCAATGGATACTATGAGTCCTGTCCTGTACATCAATGCCCTTTGGGAACGTACTTATCAATACAGCTGTAACAATGTCAATGAGGATAGCTAATTATGCTCAGATATAACGATAGCAAACAAAGTCTCATAATAGTACACTGTAGTTCATGGCGATTCACCTGCAGGTCGAGCACCCCTCTCGTTGCCTCAGGCATAAAAACGATAGCTCCATTTCGGGTCTAGCGCCACCAGCTCCGAGGCCATCCCCAAGATCCAGACTCCCTTATCTCAAAGACCACTTCAACTGCACAACACCATTACTTCCACGTGCTGGAAAATGTCCTACGCCGTTGAAACGAAGAAGCGCAAGTTTCATCGGGTTCTCGAGTCTCTAACCAAACCTACAACCTCCGAGTCCACAAAATCAGCTACCGCCGAAGCGCCTGCAACCATTCGAGACGCATCGAACAAAAAAGCCCGTCTAGATGCGCCCGGCTTCTCACTTGCACAAAACTCACTTCTAAAGGTCGCACGCCCTAGCTCCAGAGATTCGTCGTCATCGTCAACCTCGCGGCCCAGCTTTGTTCCTTGGGATCGCGAACGTTTCCTCGAGCGATTGGAAACCTTTCGTCGCGTCGACCGATGGGCACCCAAACCGTCAGCAATAAGCGAGGTGGAATGGGCTAAGCGCGGCTGGATATGTACAGATGTGGCCCGGGTAACATGTGCTGGGAATTGTGGTGGGTCGGTTGTGGTCAAGCTCCCGGATGAGCTGGATGAGTTGGATGGGTTTGATGCTGAAAAGGTGCAAGAGAGGAAGGAAGTTCGTAAGTTTGCCAATTGCCGTGTCTGCTTCGTGTGCCTAATGAAGATCAGGAGCCAAACTTGTGGACGAATACGCGGAAAGGCTGGTCAAGGGGCACGGGGAGACTTGTCCGTGGAGGAACAAGGGCTGTGATGGTGGGTTCTTTGACACTTGTGGTTGCCATTCGGGAGCTGACTGTTACAGCTACTATCCATCGATTGCCGCTAGCAAACCCCGAAATAGCTATCTCCGGCCTAGAAAAACGATACTCAAACCTCGTGAAGATGGCCGATCAATTGCCGGCCACAGACGTCATCCAAACGCCTAAGTCCTTCGATCTCGACACGCTCATTAAGATACTTCCAGCAAGCTTCAACGGGTCCGACGAAAGTACGCGCACGCAGAGCATTGAGAGCAATACTGAGGGTGAAGATGGGAAAGAGAACGCGCAGAACTCTGAGCCTGAGCCATCTGTTCTCAAGAACGCCTTCATACTAGCATTCTTCGGCTGGGACTCAGTCCCCGACGGGACAGCTGGTCTGGTCGGCTGTAGCGTGTGTTTCCGGAGATTGGGCCTGTGGATGTACAAACCAAAGCCCAACGGCGATGAAGCTCTTTACGACTCATTGGAAGTGTTGAATGAGCACATGGATTATTGTCCTTGGGTGAACGGAAAGGCTCAGAGCGGAACGGGACGGGCCACCGAGAAATCAGAGGGCCTACGTTGTGGCTGGGAGCTGCTGGGCCAGGCGCTCAATGTGCGCCATCGTCGACTGAATCGTTCGACCATCTCGGGAGACAGTCGTGCTGTCTCTGAGGTACCATCCACGGATGAGCTTGTGGCGGACGATATCAACCCCGAGGTTAAAAAGGCCAGTGACCGGGAATGGTGGGCCAAGTTACGCCGCATGCGACAGGTTTTGAACGTCGGTTCGCCTAGAAAGAAGCCGGCCACGAAGTGATATTCTCATTATATTGTTTTTTCTGCACATGATACTCCTCATCTGGTTGTTAATGCAGCGTGGCGTTCGGGCATTCTCATATCTATCTTCTCGATATCCTCATTCCTACATTAGTTATGCTATAGCGAGCCTTTTCCTACGCCTCGATAACTTAGAATACATCATACTAAATCAAGAACGAAAGGAGAGCAGAAGTTATCATTTACTCAACGCATTGCTTTGAAGCCAGATGCTCAATCCACCAATCGTAAGTAAGGTGAAGATTATAAGCACCCATTGCGCCTGCCCTCTCTTTCCCTTCCGCTTGTACATCTCCCAGCCCGGTCCTGAGCGGCCTGGCAAAGGCAGAAAAGTAACAACCTCTGCATCTGCCATTACTTTTGATGCCAGGTCAGCAGGCAGGTTGCCAGCATATGGTGCCCAATATCGTCCAAAGACGGTGTTGAGGATGCCATCTCGGGCCTGAATTCGAGAGACTGAAGCCGCGGTGCGACACATGCCTACCATGCGAGTGTATCGAGTCTCCCGATACTGCTTGAGGAGATGCTGAATCTGGACATTTGATGGCTTGCAAACTCCACGGGCGTTGACAAGATCATGTAGAAGGGAAGAGAGCGCCGCAGCATCCTCGATGGCAGAATTGGCTCCCTGGCCAAAGTTGGGCGTCATCTGGTTGCACATCGAGTAAGCCCAACGATCTCACTTCAATTTTCCTAGCGACTTACCTTGTGAACGCTATCTCCAATCAAAACCATCCTATCATGGTGCCATGTCTCGAATACTCCCTCCTCCAGCGCTGTCATTGAGGACACCTCTCTGTTCTTCCACAAGTCCCCCACGCAGATGTTTTTCCAGAACCGCACGTGTTTGACCCGATCGAAGAGCTGTACGGCATCCTCGTCTGAGAATCGCGGGACATCAGGATAGACGTACTTCCTATCCAACTTCTGGATCACGAACCAGAACACCCGACCATGTCTGCCGTGGATGGTTAGAATGGATAGATGGTCGAAAATCCCGTTGATCTGTTCGCTTATCTCGAGCCCTGGAATGGCTGATGAAATTCCGAAAACGCAGACATACTCAACAGTCATGCCTGCTTGTATTAGTCTCATTGCATCCAGCACAAAGGACATGAGACTTTGTAGAAACATACTTCTTCTTTCACGTGTCGAAACCGATGCAGGCCGATTCTCCTCCGCCATCTTCCAAATCTCACTTCTCACCCGACTATGTACTCCATCAGCACCAACCACGAGATCCGCCTCATACTCTGTCCCATCAGCCACAGAAACAGCAGTTCCATGATCCGACTGTCGCACGCCAACTACCCTTTTCCGAGTGAGAACGTTCTGCTTCTTCCTCAGCCCCTCATATGCAATCTGCAGGAACTTCTGCCGGTCCAAGAATGCAACCGGGTATCCGAACCTAGAACCTTAGTCACAACACCTTCTATCTCCTTCTGTCCGCATGATATTCTAGATACTGTTGACATACCTATCGCCTAGGACCTTAGGATAGACGTTACTGAAGCAGAACCCATCTGGATAGCTGATATTCGCCTGATGCAACGGCTCAATCACACGCTCAATCTCCCCAAATAGGCCCAGTTGCTCGAGGATCCGTCCACCATTTGGCATGATACCTATCGAGGCACCAACTTGCGGGGCAACATCTTCTCCTTTTTCGAGTATGAGGTACTCGATATTGGCACGTTCGAGACAGTGCGCAAGGGTGAGGCCTGCGACAGAACCGCCCACAATAAGGACGCGAAAGGGGGGTTGCTGGGTATTGGCCATGCTTGCGAATCACGCCAGATACAAAGCCTAATCAAAGATGATTCCTGCGTATGGTATATATATTGTGTTTATTTGGTTGAGTGGAATTATATTGAGCCTGAGGCAGATGAATTTCAAACTGTACGGCAAACCAAGTGTTTGCTATTCTCACTGCTGGAGCGAATGGACCTCAAATGACATCCAGCACTGGCATAGTGGCATAACTGCGTAGTCAAGCTACTTCGGGCTTATGCAAGCCAGCCCCGTGGTACATGCGCTTGACCAGTAGTTGCTGTGTCACAAGCGTGGCTGTTCATCATGCCATCGTCTACTTGCAATCGGAGGTGGCGAAACAGTAGTATGCCTTACTTCTATTTCTACCCGAGGACAGCAATATAGGTGAAGACATTGTATCCACTGCGTTATTCTATCGGTGGGTGATGGTCTTTGTCAACCCAAACATACTTACTATTACATGACAAGCAGTAACTCCGTTCTCATGAGAGCACCACAAAGAGTGGTACAACACCGTGAACTTTCTCCGCCATTCCGTCAGGATAGATAGCTGTGTGTTACACACTCATCTATCTCCATACTGTTCCTGGCTACCTCTTCTTGTGCTTGATTCCACGCTGGGATCTTCCTTCTTGTCGCTTGACAGAATAGAATAACGCTCCATACAGAATTTCAAACAGAAAGAACATGGCCACGGACCATAACACAAGCGGGCAGTTCAGCCAGGAAAAAGCCTCCCACCAGCGAATATATCGAACAAGGGCAAAGCCGATGGCTGATGTTGACCCAAAGAACCTGGAGATCCTAGTGATTACTTAGCACAGCAAACAGCCTGAGCAGATCAGACCAACGCTTACCATAGTGTCCATGACGCCCCTCGTGTGTTTCCCCGACTCAACAATTGAAACACATTCCCTATGCTGATAAAGAGCTGGCATGCAATTGCCCCCCACGTATAGGCTTGGGCGGGACCAACCTGGGCAGTAAGAGCCATGTGACCGCTCAGACAACAAAGTGTCGTCGCTGCGAAGACAAGGGGCATATGGTCCCTCACCATTGCAGAGTGGTGCCATTCATTTGGGGCATTCTTGACTCCGGCGTAAATAACCCCAAGGTCGAGAGAAATTCCCATGAGAAAGGCAACCCGCTCGACAAACCCTTTGGCAGGATACATTATGCAGAATATGATTTCCCAGGCAAAATTAATGCAAAGGCCCCCGATGGTCATGCAGTATGTTTGGTCCTTGAACGATGTGTAAATCATCTCCACATAGTGAGCAACCCAGCCAACAGCCATTCCGATGACGAAGATATCAGCGAGCCATTTTAGCGCGTTATATTCTGGTGGAGCAGTAGAATGGTCGAACCCATCCATTAAAGCGATACGAAGACACGATTCAATGCTTGTAGCGGTTCTGTCGCTGTCAGGATCTGGGCCATTTGCATTTTACATGACCTGAGCATGCTTATATAGTGAGTTGACTTGGGGTCACCCAGTGCTACGGCGCCCTGGTCCTGTTCCGCTGACGATACGCCATAAAGGTCTGTGTTTCCCTATGAGTGGACTGATGTCCGCATCAGGTAGGACCACCAGGAGTCTCGGTAATCATGTGTCACCGATGTGCTATTCTCAAGCCGCTCAAAGACCTGCAAGTGAGCCAGGGGAGTGCACCGGGTTTCAAAAGCTGTATCTCCTGTCGTGCCGCTAGAGGCATGTCGCCATACCCAACTGTCAGCTTCTCTCAAGAGCGAGAGTCAGGCAACAACCATTCTGGTTGGCTCGACCGCACTGAAAAGGAAATGGTGTAACTTGTGCGAAGCAACAGCTTGCCCCGAGGGGAACCCTGAGCCCTTAACGATGAGGGTACAGCTGAAGTATCCTATCCATAGCATACATATATAGACAGGACAGCGTCCCTTTGCGAGCTCATCGGGGTACCGTGCTGTCATCTGTTCTTCTCATCCTTGCACTTCGTCCCACTCAGGAAGGACCGAATCATGGCGGCACTTCCGGACGTTGCCTCCATTCCCATCCCTCTGGTAGCAACCCTAGGCATTGCCCCTCTAATTTTTTATTTCGTCCTTGATGGAATTGGTCCCTTGTGGCCAAATTCCAAAGCTTTCCTGATTGGCAAGAAGAAACCGGAGACCGTGACATCGTTCGAGTGCCCATATGCCTACATTCGTCAGATCTATGGGAAGTATCACTGGGAGCCATTCGTACAGAAGCTGTCCCCGAGGCTCAAGGATGAGGATCCGGCCAAATATAAGATGGTTCTGGAGATAATGGATGCAATCCACCTGTGCCTGATGCTAGTTGACGATGTACGTATACCTTGAATCCAGATAAATACACTCTAACGTCAAGCAGATAACTGACAATAGCGACTATCGAAAAGGCAAGCCAGCAGCCCACCGGATATATGGCCCTTCAGAGACAGCAAATCGCGCTTACTACCGAGTCACCCAGATTCTCAACAAGACCGTGCAAAAGTTCCCCAAGCTGGCCAGGTTTCTGCTACAAAATCTGGAAGAAATTCTCGAAGGCCAAGACCTGTCACTAATCTGGCGACGGGATGGACTGGGTAGCCTTTCGACTGTTCCTGAGGAGCGAGTTGCAGCCTATCGCAAGATGGCATCATTGAAAACAGGGGCGTTATTCCGGCTGCTGGGACAATTGGTGATGGAGGACCAATCGATGGACGGGACGATGACTACTCTTGCGTATGCCTCGTTTTTGATTCCTTACAATTCTACCATGTCTAGCAGGAGCCAAAAGCTGATGACCCTGAGATAGGTGGTGCTCGCAGCTGCAGAATGACTGCAAGAATGTCTACTCATCCGAATATGCCAAGGCCAAAGGGGCGCTTGCCGAAGACCTGCGAAATCGAGAGCTCTCGTATCCGATTATCCTCGCGCTGGAAGCTCCCGAAGGGCATTGGGTCGCCAGTGCTTTGGAGACCAGCTCACCGCGCAATATTCGCAAAGCGCTTGCTGTGATTCAGAGCGAGAGAGTGCGCAATGCTTGTTTCAAGGAGCTCAAGTCGGCGAGCGCTTCGGTTCAGGACTGGTTGGCTATCTGGGGACGGAACGAGAAAATGAATTTAAAGAGCCAGCAGACATAGCTTTTTCTTTATCTTGGGGTATACAGTTTCACTTCTCGTATGAGGGTCGAAGGATCATTCCCCTTAGGACACGTTCTGGGTTTAATTTGTGCCATACATACACGGTAGATCAAAACAGCATATATCAACATTTATACGTTGAGTTCGGTTCATTCATTGAGCTCTGGACTGGTGTGTCGATGATGTTCCCACCAGCTTTGAAACTTACATTGACCCTGGAGAACCGTACAGCCTGCTTCGGACGGAGTAAGGCCATAGATATAGTCCGAGCAGGAGTTGTGGTAACATCAAGCAAGCCACAGAGGGGGTACTGCATGAACCATGTTACAATTCGGACCACCATCAGCTGGGAGTATCCTACTCACCAACATCACTGCCCGATATTAGGGTGGTGCTGGCGCCGCGCTCACCCTAGCCATTATCCCTCTTACCCAGCCAT